AATAAATAATGATTTTAAAGCATTTTTTAATATCTAATTTTTGAAAAAGCTTGAAGCATGTGTCGTTTCAACTTTCCTCTCGGAGTTTGGAAATGCTATGAAACACCATCTCTCGTGTTTGGTATGTTACTTCAAAGCATCATTAAACTCATTAGGCCGGTGATTTGAATCGTGAGCTTAATGCTAAAATTTTAAGCAGTTCGGGTGAAAAGAAACTATCTTTGCCTGGCTTTAATTAAAAACCACGACTGGCTCATTGATGAATCTATATATAGAACTGTCTTATGCCGTTTTCAAGTCTTGGGCCCCCGGTTTACGCATTTCGGAGTCTCGTCGAATTTAACTCAAGTCCCCATCGCTTCGTATATCAGCGCAGTGCTCACACCAACATGCTTCCACGAAGTATTTCATGAAGCATCTCTCATGTGACATCGATATGTTTCAGCCTGTCCGTATTGATGTGTTTTCATTTGAAAATGAATACATTTTTGAATACATTTTTGAATACATACAAGCTGTTTCATACGTAGTATGGACGACCAAAAATGTTGGTATGAATTGGGCTTAGTTTGGCTACAAAAGATACTAATTTATCTTGTCACTGGCTAATTGCAGAGACAAAGGAGTCGTTAATTTCTTCAGTACTTGTCAACTTAGCTGGTAATAAAGACCCTTCCACCTGACTCAGCCTTGAATAGCTGGCCCCCGTAACCAGGTTGGCTAATGAACCGTGTTATATATTTTGAGAAGACGCCCTCACCTATGATACAATTGCTCTAAACTGTTAAAGGGTAAAATTCATTTACATTACTTACAAAATATTTCAGGCGATTTCAATTTTGGGTATAAACGTGTCCTAAAATTAAACCGTCCGAAATTTTTAAGCGTCTGAGATTTTAAGCATCTAAAATATTTACTGTACAGTATAAAACTTAAAGTAGCTCCAAAGCTCTTAGTTCCCTTGCGGAGTAGACTCTAGTTGCTTGAGATGCGTGACGGCTTGTTAAAATTTGTGTTATTTTCTCGTCGGTGTGTCTGTAAAACCTTGAGGGTGCAGTGAAACTATCATTTTTACAGGTATTATTTCAGTCTAATTGGTGTTTTGTATGAATTTACTTTAGTTATGTTTCAGAAAAGTATCCAAAGTTTTGTTCGAAATTTGTCCGAAATGAGATAGAAAGTGACGCCCGAAAATTAAACTTCCGAAATAAAATGTCCGAAATTTTTTTTGTAAGTAATATATTACCGACACGTTTGATGCAATCTCCCTATGTTGAGCAGATCAACAAGAAAACTGTGTGTGCTTCTAGTAACGTGGAAAGCACTGTGGAACTCAAACTACCATTCAGAATCAATAACCGCAACAATTGACGCTAATTAGACAGAAAGAAATGGGTTTCAAAAGAGAAAAACGTTACTGTTTTGTTCGTAATTTTAGTTCAGTGATAACATTGCGTACTGGCCCTGAAGGACCGTATAGCTAAATGAGAACTCGAAAGAAGACACGAGAAAAAGCCTCTTACGTACTCGGAAATACTGATAAACACTATTAAAATTAAAGCTACTAAACTCGTTTTAAAAATATTGTGTGACATAAGCCAAGTAGTAAGGAAACCATTCGGAAGAAATGCAAATGAAATTGACACTTACAGTTTCTTTTCCAAAGTAAGTCACAAACTTCTTTATAACTTCGTGGTTGTCACTTGCAATGAAAATCTTTCTTGGTCGCGGCAACGTCACAAGAATTGACTGAGCTTTCTTAATCCAACTCATCAAAGATGGCAGCGTCTGTTCGCTTGTTTCCAGCCAATGATCTGTTCCTCTAACGTGAATTCCCAACACATTGAACCTTGCTAGATATTTCTGGTAAAACATCTTTACTTTTGTCTTTATCCTTAAATTAGGTTTAATATACTGACGAATTAGTTTATTTACTCTAAATCTCTCCTGTTTGGTTATTATTCTGCTGTATTCAAAACCTTCAACATCAGTTCGGTTTTTGAAACTGTTGTCAATGACTGATCCCACATCTAAAGGTGCACCGTCAGCTCTCAAAGGACAGAAAATGCTGTCGACTTTGAACTCTAATCCGCGATTAACAGGCTCAAAATACCAGTCCCAGGAATTCACTCTCGTATCCTTCGAGCAAACAGAATTACAAGCCCTCCAAAACGCAGTTGGTCGATGAATTCCCAAAGCACGACACAGAATTATGTAATCCAATGTGTAAAGCAGAAATGCCGCAAAGCCAATGTTTTGACAATCTGTAATCGCAGGATCTACAACACAGACTGTTGTACCGATCATTTTCCCGCTGTTTTTCCTAGTTGCAGCTAGAAATCCTTCCGATTTAATGAGAGCGCTTTTCAAATTCTCAGCCGTTAATGAAATAGCGTTGATGTCAGTTGTTTCCGATGTTGAGACGGCAATATCTTGCATTTGCTTCACCGAAAACACCGATTGATTATAATTAAACATGAACCAAACAGACAATAGGAACGCTAAGGATACCAGATATAAAACAATAAACGGAGTAAAATGTAAAATGTTCAAACGCTCGACACGGCATCCGAAACGCGCCATGACCGCTTTCTTGTTTTTCTTAATTTATGCCACCAGGAATTCTCTTGATGCCACAAAATGTAAATTTTCGAATCTTATCTTTGTGTGAGGGTAGACCGGAAAACTTAATTATATTGTTTATAGCAGGTGTGTGGAAGAAGTGACTAAAGTTTTCAAAATTGCTACGAGACTCGAACCCCATTACAGTCACCACTGACAGGTCATCAGAAAGTTTGGCCGCCCTGATAAACGGGGCCGTATTAACGGTGTAGAGTCAAACTTCATGTCTGGTCTAAATTGAGTGAGGTCTTTACAGATATATTAATTACACTTCCAACCGATAAAATGTAGCAATATTGAAACTTGAATCAGTGTATAAAATATTAACAATGGATCGGAAAGATGAACATAACTGGTTTGAGTGGCCGTATAAACGGGGTAAAATTATAATTTTTAGGATTATACAGGTTGGGATTTCAGAATGTGGCCGTTGGGCGTACTAACGGGGTGACCACATTAACGGGGTTTTCTTTCAAGAAAATGTATGGGTATTTCGCCCAGACAAAAAAAGTGGCCGTATTAACGAGGTGACCGTAAGGCGGTGTTCAACTGTATGTATTTTGAAAACTTTTAAATTCCGAAAAACCGTAATATATATAATAACTTGCATCTATTAATCACGAATTGTGCGAGAAGGTCGTGAGATTAATGCAATCTAGCTAAAGTCTATTTAGTTTGATATATGCGGGTGATCTAAGTTCATAAATCCTGTTGGGGATCTTTTCAGTGGAAAACACCCTTATAGAAATGAATTTGTGTTCATAAAGTGTTAAGAGTTATTTTCGCATGCATTAACATAGCATCCGTACCCTTAACTTGAAACGCCAGAGGGACCTTCGGCTCGTCCTTATCCATCCAACCCAGGCCAAAAAACCTATTTCATTATTTAAATAATCCAATCAAATACCAGCAATGAAACATCCATTCAGAGCACGCAGTAGTGAACATTTGGAAACTCAAATTGAAAATTTTTCATGGCATGAGTTATTTGTGACTTGCCAAATTTCCGTGAGATTCCCAAGCTGTGCACATCAAAATATGGAGGAAATAAGGTGGTTAAAAAAGTAGATATCATATGTTGACCGGTAAGGTCTTTTTTCCCCAAGAAAAAAAAAATGAATATCCCCACCAGGACTCGAACCTGCAACCTCGTATCTCCCACCGGCTAAACTATTCGACCCCCTCTGTTGAAGTCCTAAATTAAAAGCGACTGTTAGTCAAACATCAGCAAGTGGATATTTCAAGGAATGAAACCAGCGTTGAATTTATTAGTTGATTACTGAAGTCTTCAGAGCCACCTTCAGGGTAGCCTGCAGAATAGGCGGATTAGCGGGCCAGAGAACGAACTTGCGCGAAGCGCCGCGCTCGTGTACCACGCGGTCAGCTTCGCGGGCTACCGTTTCCTCGTGCCAAGGCCTCGCCGGCTAAAAGAGACAGGCGGCCCTGGGGCTCAACTTGAATTTGCATTGCAACTTTGCACGAGGTACTTGGAAGCGCGGCTTCTTCTTTCAAACTTTGCCTAATACCGTGTCTGTATCACAAGATATGTTCCCAAACGTGTTCCAGACACAAAAGCTGGCTGGTGGAACCTTCTGGAGGGAAATTCGCTCAACTATTCAAGTGGCAGAAGCAGCAAGCCACTTCAAGGTGCAAGATGCAAATCTTTGACGATCCACGGTATGTGCATAAACTGATATAATGAAGACTTTATGTTTTATTGCTACATCTGAGTACTTAAACGGTTGAAAAGATTTTACACGCTTTGAGAGATTATTTCCCCAAAATAAATCGATATCTCGTGAATTCGAATGTTAGGCCGGATGTTTGGCTTGTACTGAAACATGGAATAGTGGAACACCGGAACGCCGGAACGCCGGAACGCCGGAACGCCGGAACGCCGGAACGCCGGAACGCCGGAATGCCGGAACACCGGATCACCAGGATACTAAAATCCGGAGCACAAACTAAAATCCGAAACCCAGAATGCATATAAAATCCTAAATACTAGATTACTAAAACCTAGAACGAAAAAAAAAAAGAAAAGACATTTGGAGTACTAAAGCCAGAACACACAAAACATTCCAGGGTTTTGTTCCCTGAGGTTAGCTCAATTTTCCGCAAAGGCAACGCGTTGGTCACAAGCAGTCACAAGCTCAAGCATTTCATGATAGATTTGTGATCGACTTTGGGATCCACTCCTTTGCCACTGGTGTCCATAAAATGGTGGGCATTTCTACAAAGATCACACATGCATGAAACTGTGCATAAATTATAAAAGTGAATAAATTCCCATCTAGCTCAAGAACAGTTAGCTACCCAGGTTAGATATTTTCTTTGACATTTATTAAAAATTTTTATCATGAATCTCCTGTCATTTGGCTAAAACACTGGCCCTTAAGATTGCTGGTTTTTTAACTACAGACTGCGAAGAATTATGATCAATTATGATCTTACTAACTCGTAAACAGGTTTTTATTAAAAGGCAGCAAAAACACCTTTTTTGAAACATAGTGACAATGCTTTAATTTTATGCTCATGGTAAAATTAATTTCATCGCACTGTAAGTGGTGCAAATACAGCAATATTAGTAGACGTGTAATTATTGCATTGTAAGAGTATTGTAAGTAATCATTTCTATTTGCAAGGCTTAAAAAGTTAAAAAGTAAATGGTTCTTAACTTAAAATCTTAAATCTTAATCCTAAAATCTTAACGTTTTTAGCCTTGTAAATAGAAATTAGTTTTTAAAATCAAAGCAAATATTATGGACAGTAGTGTAAGTACTCTAATACAAGTACTGTTTAAGAAATAGAAAACATGTGCCGTGTTTCTATCAAGTTATAGAAACACAAGTGGAAGTTTGGGAGAGCGAGAAATGCCGTGGGAACATGAGCCACAGGTGAGTGTTTCTACAGCTTTTTTGAGTTCTCCCAATTTTTCATGAGTGTCTCTATAACTCGATAGAAACACAGAGAACATGTTTTCTATTTCTTTTAGAAAACACTGTGACGAAAAAAGGAAAACAACTTGTTAACTTTGATTATCAAAATGTAAATTCTCTTTGCTTGCACCATCATTACATCAACAGCT